CCCTCCAGGCCCCCCGCTCCCCCGCGCCCCCCGCACACGCAGCGCGGACCCGGCCGTGCCCACGATCGTGCTCTTTTATTGTCGCTGCGGGGCCGTGCAGGGACCACGCGGGACATCCCCGACAGCGGTGGGGAGGGGACGGGAGGGGCCCCCCCGACAGCGGGACACCCCCGGACCGGGTTTTGGGGGTCCCCGGCCCTCCAGAGCGGGGTCCCGCGCTGGTCCTGGATCCCCTGGGAGAGATGGGGAGGATTTGGGGGGACAGGGGGATGGGCGGTGTGGTCACCACGAGGAGTCGTCATCTCCATACCTGCGGGAAGAGCTGGCGTGAGAAAAGGGGGTAACGAGACCCCCCCCAAACCGCCCCGGGACCCCAAACGACCCCGGGACACCCAGCCCGGGGTGCGGGCGAGGGTGCAGCGGGGCGATGGACACAGGGACGGCGACAGCGACAGCGACACTCACCGTGACCTGTCACTGCCGGTCCCCAGGAGCAGCTCCGTCACCGCCGCACCGGGGCTGGAGCGTTTCCCGTACCTGCGGGGACACGGGGCACGCGCGTGAGCCACGGGGACCCCGCGGGSGCGCGCACGGGACCCGCCGGTGGGGACAGGGACACTCGAGTGCCACTGGYGCTCACCTCTGCCGCGTGACCAGGTTGATGTAGTGGCGAAGGGCCGAGAAGTAGCGGGCCATCTCCTCGGGGGACGCGTCGTCTCCGGGGCTCTCGGGTTTCGGGGGGTACGCGGCCRCCAGGCACAGCAGGACACAGAGGGACACGGCCACCAGCGCGCGCCACGGCCGCGGGGATGTCACCATCTGCGGGGGAAAAGGGGGCGAGGGGCGGCTGTGGCTGCGGGTGGGGGTCCTGCATCGCCCCCGGGTCCCCCCATGGCCCTCGGGTCCCCCCATCGCCCTCGGGTCCCCCCATCGCCCTCAGGACCCGGCTCTGCCCCCCACCAAACCCCCGGAGCTGTCACATCCCCATTCCCTGTGGCGATGTCACCGATGTCACCTCTCCTGTCTCACCCCCATTCCCAGTGGCGATGTCACCTCTCCGGGGCACCCCCAGCTCCCCAAGCGTTTTGTTCATCCCCCACGCGGGACCCGGCCCCACYCAAGCGACATTTTCACTCCCCATGTCCCACGGGGACATCTCCGCCCCAGCGACATTCCCCCCCCTCGATGTCCCCAAGGCAGCTGTCGCACCCCGAGACCCACGTGCACCCAAAGGGACAGCTCCGCTCCACGGACCCCACGTGTCCCCAGGGTGATTGTCCCTCCCGGGGTCCCGACATCCCCCCAGCCCCGTCCCCGCACTCACGATGGCAGAGGCACAGGTGACAGGCAGGGCCTGGCCGTGGGGTGACAGTGCCGGGGACACGGCGGCTCCCACACCCACCCGGGGTTTTATAGCCTTGGGAGGGGGCTGCTGGCTCCTCCCTCACGCGTGACAGACCCACGGGCACGCCACGGCCAGGGGACACGTGCCAGCACCTTGTCATTGTCCCCCGGGCTCTGAGGGGTGGGGGGAGACGGAGCGTGGGGGGCACGGGTGGGACACACGGACACGGGGACACGCGTGTGGCCACTGGACACGGACATAGACACGGGTGTGACATGTCACCGTGGCACACACAGAGTCAGGTGAGACGCATGAATGTGGCACACGAGAGATGCCACGCGGCCGTGGCACAGGACACAGGACACAGATGTCACACACAATCATGGCACAGGACACAGGACATAGGACACAGATGTCACACGCAGCCATGGCACAGGACACGGGACAGGGACAGGGATGTCACACACAATCATGGCACAGGACACAGGACACGGTTGTCACACACAGCCATGGCACCAACACCTGGCCCTGAAACAGCCTCGGGATGTGACAGTGGGACACGGGGACATCAGCCACACCCCAGGGACACAAACATGCCACATGCGGCAAGACCCGCGGCCCTGACACGAGCCACCCTCGGGGGACAGCGGAGGGACAGCCACACCCACAGCCTCAGTTTCCCCAGACAGGGCACGGCAGCCCTGTCACCGCCGCCGCCGCCACCGCCATCGACCGCTGTCACCATCCCAGGACGGATGAGGTGACCTTTCCAACCCCCCGCGCGGGGACATTAATCCGTTATGGATTTACCATTAAMGAGCAATCACCGCTTCCGGGGGAAACTGAGGCACGGAGGGACGTGCCCGCCGGGCAGGGGCCACCAAAGCCACCGCGGSGGTGCCGGGATGGGGGAGAGGTGACAGAAAGGGGGTGCCCAAAACTGCCGGGATGGTCCCACCCAGACGCAGCCGCATCTCCGG